GACAAAAACCTTTTCAAAAATATATTTACAATTTTACTAAATGCACGAGCACAAAAATTGAATAAATACAATACCAAAAATATGCTGGTGGGTTCATTTATACATAAAAATACCGAAGATGCAATCAAGTGAAAGTTGCATTTTTTCAACATATTGATGTTCTCCTTTGGGAATATATTTTTGTCTCACTGAAAATTTGCCTCAGTGTTCTAAAAGTGAAATGTGAATGTTTTTAGGATGCCTGGGGATGGTGCAACAAGAAAAAAATGGTTAGAGTTATTGGGATTCCAAGAATTTGCAGCATTGCCCATTCGGGCAGATATTTGCTCGGAACACTTTAATCAAACTGATTTTGATATCAAACCTTCGGGCAAAAGATATCTGAAAAAAGATGCATTACCTAGAGCAGGCCAGTCTACTCAACAAATGAGGTAGGTACTTTGCTTTTATCATTAAATAAATTATGAATAAGCCACTTTTGTCCTTTACAGGTGGATTTTGTGTTATTTAAGTACTTATTTAACTAGGCAAAGAATACAATTTGTTTATGTAACTGATGTTTATGACTGTGGGTGGTTACTGCATTTTCATTGCCTTGGTCAATATAAAGATACATAAGTTAAAAATTGGAAAACAGTAATTTGTAAATCGGGTCCTAGGAAGGAATAAATAAGAAAAACAATGGTTATGTTACTTTAAGAATAAAATATTATTTTATTTAAATATCAAATTAAGTACCTAACATTAATTAACATTACTTGAATTGTATTGTCAATGCATTTGGTTTACAACTAAAATATTTCATTCATGAAGTTCATCTGGAAATACTACACCTGTAAAAATAAAAAGGAAAGAAACCAAAACTTTATAGCAAAGATTATAATTGTAGTATCAAGGCAAGTATATGTAGTATTTATATTTCCCTTTTATTTTTAAAGGTGGTGTATTCCCACACGAATTTCATGAATTACATAGTTCCGCCACCAACAACTTATAGATAATCTTAACCAAAATATTTGTTTCAGTTCATCATCATCTTCTGCAGAGACACCATCACCAAAACGGTAAGTGTAAATTTTTGGAGATTACTCGGTCGAATTTTTGAGGGTAATTGCAAAGTGTACTTTCTATACAGATAACTAGGAGAGAAATATTCATGTGGGAGGTTAACATTTGAGTATATTAAATAGTAATTAGTTGTATATTAAATAGTTTGTTAACTGCTAATGCAAAAAATACACATTTTTAAAAATGTTATTCAAATTGTGTTTTCAGATTTAAAACAGATTTAGAGCCTGATCAGGAAGTAATCATTTACGATGATAATAAAGAAGACATTGACTTTTTAAAAGGGGAAACATCTAGCACATCTACTGCGTCTGAAACCCAAGATGAAATTATCAAGATGTTACCGGGAGTAGATACAGAAACTACTGCTGATACTGCTACTGGCCCTCAAACTAGTTGTAGAGGAATACTGTCTGTAGTTGTTCCAAAAGTACAACCATCTAAAAAGGATACCGTTTTGAAACAGAAGAAAAAAATTAAAATCTTACAACAGTCTGTTAGAAGACATTGGACATGGGTAAGGACCCTTCATTCTTTAATAGAAGTTTTAAAGAAGAAGGCAATGATCACGGACAATGCAGAGACAACTTTAATGGTAGGTATACATTTTCCATTTTTTAAGTTAACAGAATGTATATCGTTTATTTTTTTGAAATTGAACAGCTGATTGAAAATGATTCTGAGCAAAACTTTTTAGGATCATATTTTAAAGTTGCAGTGTTTTTCCAGTGGTCAGTGTAACATGATATTTAACTTTGCATTAGAATCTTATACCTAACCAAGGACATTTTACCTAACAAACTTGTATTTTTACAATTTCAAATGAATGACGGTAATTAATTAGTTAATTTTTAATTAATGACAGAAATTTCTTATAGTTACTATGTATGTATTCCGGCGTCACTTCCTGAAGCTACGGGAGAATTATTTGAAAAATTGCTGAAAGGTCCCAGTAAATAAAAATATAGTCTAGCCTTGAGATCTTTTGCGCTTACTTTAAACTTTTATTCGCCGAGAGCATATAATTTTGTGAGAGATTATTTTTTAATCGTTCCGTTCCACATCCGACCACAATTTCTAAATGGTATAAAACTGTTGATGGTGCACCTGGGTGGAGCAATGAGGCGTTGAATGTATTAAAAGTAAAAGTTAAAGAAGGACAAGAAAAAGGGTGTAAAATATTTTGTAATGCTGTCCTTGATGAAATGTCTATTCGTACGCAGATAGAATGGGACGGTAAAACATTTTTTGGATATGTTGACGTAGGCACAAATGTACATAGCGATTCCCTACCAGAAGCAAGAGGCACTGGTATTTATGCTTGTTTGTTTAAATGACTATTGGAAAATCCCAGTAGGATATTTTTTGTTAGATGGATTGAATGCCGAAGAAAAGGCAGCTTTAGTTATGAACGGTTTGGAATTTATAAACAGCAGTGGGGTAGAAGTAACATCTCTTACTTTTGACGGAGCTCCCACCAATTTTATCATGGCTTGTCAGTTAGGAGCAAATTTCAGGGATACTTCAACATTGACAAAATTTTTTTACATCCAGTTACTAAAGACAAAGTTTTTATATTTCCCGATCCTTGCCATATGATAAAGCTTATCAGGAATTGTTTTGGATCACAAAAAAATTTAGAGGACAGTAATGGTAAACAAATTAATTGGTTATTTATTGAAAATTAGGTTGATTATCAATATTCGCAAGAACTTCACGCATTAACTAAATTGAAACGTAGACATCTGTTATGGATGAAAGAGAAAATGAAAGTAAGACTCGCCACCCAGACCTTAAGTAAAAGTGTTTCTGATGCACTACTATATTTATGCCAAGACTGTAAACACCCATTATTTCAACATGCGGAAGCAACTGCACAGTTTGTAATAATTTTTAATGATCTTTTTGATATATTTAATTCAAAAACAAGATTAGTTAAATATGAGTATAAAAAACCACATCATTAAACACATATAAGCACTTTTTCAATATTTGAATACTATTAAAAATTACATTCATGGTATTAAGTTAAATAATGAGTTAATTATAAAATCTGCAAGGAAAACAGGATTTTTAGGGTTTTCGATATGTATCGAAAGTTTAAAAGGCTTATTTGAAGAACATGTTCAAGTAAAAATGAACATGAAAAATATATTAACATACAAATTATCACAGGATCATCTTGAGCTTTTTTTTTGGTGCCATATGTAGTCGAGGTGGCTTTAATAATAACCCTACTGCAGAACAGTTTGAAGCGGCTTTTAAAAGGTTAATAGTACATTCCCAGATAAAAGCTGGAGACACCGGTAATGCCATTAATTTAGATGCAACTTCGATACTGGTGTGCAGTAGTGTCAGCTCAAAGTTGACAACAAATGACGATAATATTGATTTGCAGAATTCCCTTGACAACATAAACTTTGAAAATAATATTAAATAGCAAATTTCTAACGAAAATTATTTAAATTCTGCTGCTTGGAATTTAACGGATTATGTCCAAGATGTAGTTTCATACATCTCTGGATTTGTTGTGAGACAACTAAAAAATATCTTAACATGTTTAAAATGTTTAAGTACAATTGAAAGTGATGTTTCATATTCCATCCTCTTGACGAGAAAGGAATATAAACAGTTAACAAGACCATCTCTGTTTGTAATCAGTGTTTGTAAGGCAGGTGAACACTATTTTCGATTTTTTAATAAAACTGCTGGCATATTTAATAAAAAAGTAAAGCAGTTGTTGCCAGTTCTAATTAATAATACATTGTCAAATCTACCTTGTACCGTATACAATGATTTTGGTGAACATTTCTATGATGAAGAGCCCCTTACAGGGCATGCTACAATGTTAATAAAGTTAATTTTGAAAAAATATTTTACCATTAGGATTCATCATGAGACGGTAAAAAAATTAGATAAAAAACTGATCGAGTTAGAAGTTGTCTAACAAAACAAATTCTTTTTAAAAATCAGTAACCATTGATCGTTATGTTAAATATAATAAGTATTTTTTTTGTGGAATCAAGTGTTTTTCTTATTCATATACTTTTATGCCCTTTGCATATATTCCATAAAAAAATTAACAATTTATTATATGTTAATTATGAATATTTTGTTATTAAATATATTCGTTACACTTACAGTTGGTATTAATTTTGTGGGAAACTTATTAATTGTATCGACAGTGGAAAAACCAGAATTATAATGGAATCTCTTTTTTATAAAAATACTGAGTAGCTGTTGAAATATATTGACTTAGGACTATAAAATATTTTATTTTGACCCTTCCAAAACATACCACATTGGAGATGTAATCCCAGCATCAGTTGGATGAAAATAAAGCCCTCTGCTTTCCCCTTGCCTAGCTTCACCCAACATATGAGATAGACAGTGACGTGCATAGTCCCCTTTATTTAAAGGTCCTTGGTCAAAACCGACTTGTGTCGACAAGTCGCTTCACAGTGACAACTGAAATTTATGCCGCAGCCGACCAGAGCAACAGTGTGTAACGCCGTTTGCTTGCACACGCATTCTTGAACTGGGCATATACATTTCTACCACCTGCATGTTTAGTTCGACCAGACTTGTATATGGGTATAGCTAAATAAATGTGGGAACAAGTTTTTCAAATATTTCAGTGCCTAGTTGCTGGGTCAGCGACCGAACCTGGTACCTGGTATCATCCTCTTGGTTCTTCAATTGATATCAGAAAGACTATTCCATTAATGCTTTCTTCAGTCCCAAAAAAAACTATATATTCCTATAAAGTTTAACACATTTTTTTTTATTGCAGAACATCAGTNCCCGGCACAGGTGCTGTAACAAAGATGCCGACGGCGTCTATGCTTAAGCCGGGGATTAGGTCGGTGATTAAAAGGAAAGAAAGGGATTCTTTCCTGGTAGCCTTAATAAAGGCAGGTAGAATTTGCTCCTTGCACTACACTTTCACAAAACACGTGTGCTCTGGTCGGCTGCCCGCTAGGAACTCGAGATTTGACACTGTCAATACTAGGAATGAATACAAATGTTCAGTCTGTTTCTATGTTCTTTATGGTTACCAAAAGGATAAAAAATATAACTGAGGTTAAGCCATACGACTAAATCTCAGAGTAATAAGTCTGAGGACTAAATAAATAAGACCCGTGAAAAGGATAGGACCAGTAAAATCATGAAAGTACGAGCGCCATCTCACGGTCATTTTGCAAAACACTGCCATGTTAGCAATAATTATGTATCGAAAACTGCAATACTAACTTGAACAGGAAAGTAATGTTGGTATTAGAACCTATAGAGTTCGCTGGAAAAATAAAAAATTTGACGATATGATATTACATATATTCTTTCGTGCTGAAGCTGAACAAACTGATTGCAATCGGTAACTAGCCAATTATAATACAACATATTTTAAATTCTTAATCATTATTGGTTCTTTACTGATTTCACTCACTTTGTTCAGTACGAAAGAATACGTGTATTGAAGATTAGGTCACAAAGGGGGTGTATTCTGTGCATTATGTTTGAGTTTGAGGTTACAATTTATTTCTACTTTTTGTTGTATTGTGTCTAATTAACTCGTAAGTTACCGCGCTAGTGCTTTTGATAATAATTGTTTTCTGTTTTAAACTAAAATTTAATGTAACACAAGAAGATAATTATAATTGTTGAATCGATCATCTGAATTGTCTTACTACTTTTGTTTGTTTTACTCTTTAATAGAAAATGTCTGGAAGGAACTCACATCACTGTTGTGCACCAAACTGCAAGAATATATATTATTTATACACCACAGATACTTCTTACAGAAATAAAAGCTTTTTCAGAGTTACTGCAGACAGGGAAATGATTTGGATAGAATCAGTTCGCAAATTATGTAAACCAGAATTTAACCTCGTCAACAAAAAATGTTTTTTTTGCGAAGACCACTTTGAATTAAAATGTTTTAAAAATAGTAAGAAGAATAGCCTCAATAAAAATGCAGTGCCGACAATATTTTGTGGATCAAATAGTATATCATCACACTTTGATTCTCTTAATAGTAACATTTACTTGAAAACTAGTCTAGAGTCAGTTAAACAGTTTGTTAGTGAAACATTAAAGAATGCCGAAATTAATAAATGCCAAACATCAATGTTAGATGGTTTTTCGGAACCACCATTTAAAAAACCAAAATACTCTTATTCCAAATTGTCATCTCTAAATACCAATCCTAGTACTAGTACTGTTATTGTTGACGATACCATGCTCGATGAAGTAAGTTCAAATACTGGTTGTGTAAGTACTTCACATAATACTTAATTTTGTCCAAACTTCACTTGTAAGTCGAATACTAGACAACAAAAAATGCTTTTAAAATCTCAATGTAAAAAGAGTGTCTCAACTTTCAGATGAAAATAAAAAGTTTTATTATTTAGACCGTAAACAAAAAAATCAGATTTTAAAATTAAAAACAAAATTTTTAAAGTTTAAAAATAATTTGTCCAATGTTTGTAATATCACTTATTCAAAGTTATTCACAGATTTATCTCAATGTCTTGATCCTATTGGTGTAAAATTTATTGAGTCGCAAATTACCAACTGCAAAAAGAGATGTTCTTTATATAACTCAGAAAGTAAAGCACTTGCTTTAGCTTTATAAACAGGGTCCTAGGTGCTATTAATTTTTACAAAAAATGTTTGTACTACTAAATTTTCCATAAGAAAATATTTAGGCCAAATACCATTTAGAAGTAGGAATTAATAAAAAACTTTTATGTAAATTATCAGAACGTGTAAAGAAAGTGTATTCAAGAGATCGGGTTTATTGTAACCAAGTAATCGGATATGTAGATCTTGGTTTCCTGGGTAGACAAAATGTGGTAGCATATCACGCTTTAGTGTTTTTGGTGCAAGGTATTGGTAAGCACTGGAAGCAATCTATTGCATATTATTTTACCAAGGATGTGGTAAAAACACAGTTATTTAAAAGTTTTGTTGATTGAAATAATATCAGCTTTACAATCTTGTGGATTGACAGTAATTTGTACAGTTTGTGATCAGGGCTCCACTAATAGATCAGCCAAGAGACAGTTAGGTTTAGAGTCACCAAATAAATCTACTTTTAATGTTGATGGAAATTTTTCCTATTTTTGATGTTCCTCATTTACTGAAAAAATACAGGAAATGCTTTATATAAATGTAACATACAATTTTCAGAGAATAAAACAGCTACATTTAATCATATAGTTCAACATTACGAAATAGACAAATCGAAACGCTTCCAAAGTTTACGAAAGTTAAATGACCATCATTTTGATCTCAGTCGTAGTAACATTAAAATAGTACAATGAAAGTTAAAATTGCAGCACAAACATTCAGTGCATCTGTAGCTCATGAGATTGAGTCAATGGTCAGTAATCCCAGTATCAGTATACCTGCTGAGGCTATTCATACAGCAGAAATTGTTAATATTAACGATCTTTTCAGCAGTTTAAATTCGCTGATAATTCAAGTGAATAAAAACAGTTCTTTAAAATCTTGCATTATTAAAAACGCACCACATGTGAAATTTTGGACTAACATGTTAAAAAAAAAATTAATTCTGGGAAATTTCAATCAGTTAA